AGTTTTGCCAGGAGCATCAACAAGGCGCAGGGGCAATTACTTAAAGGTTGTTGGTACTCAACATGCAAAGCCTATGTTTTTCTCATGGTCAACTTTATGTTGGTGATGACAAGAACCTTTTCACCTTGGCACCAGATGGGATAATAACCAACATTGTCTATCCTGAGGCACTGCAAGGATAAAAAAATGCAAAACACTGTGATGGAAAATTCTCAGTGCAGTGATGAAGTATTAAGATGTAAATATATAATTCTTAACTTGCATCAAATATTTTTTATTGTACAATAAAATTGATGGGGAAAACCAAATCTTTGAAAATATTTTTGGTTGTATCTTGTATCGAGAATATATTCAATATACAGACACAGTCGACCAGTAAAATGTCAACCTAATACTTTGGCTAGTAAGGTATAAAACACAATAGAATGTAGTTTGAAAAAATCGAGCCCTTGTTAATCAAAGCGTTAACAACACGCAACTTGAGGTTAATAGGATATAAAACACAATAGAATATGGTTTGAAAAAATCGGGTCCTTCTTAATCAACTTGAGGCTAATAGGGTATAAAATACAATAGAAAATGGTTTGAAAAAATTGAAAAAATGCAAAATGTACAGCATTTTCAACGCATAAAGGATGAAGACAGCCGTTAAATTAGTAATATTGGTGTCAGTAAACAAAGTATTTATGATCCTATCCTAAAATGAAGTAGTGATGCACAAAAAAAAATAAAATAACGGATGAGTCATAGTCTGTGATTCCGGGAGTCTTATTAGTACGCAAGGCTCTGGTTCAATGAACCGACTGTATCTACGCCACTGCTTCTTGATTTTTGTTGTTGTTGTTTTGTTTATATCACAAACAAGGATTATACAGTTTAATTATTTAATGTGCAGTTATCGAGTGTGATAGCTTGCAGAAAAGAGCACGGTTTCGAAACTCGTTTGATCCTAGTTTTCACACATACACAAAGTAGTTAATCACATATGACAGTGTGATGCTATTAATAGAATGCATGCACTTGAAAATGCTGTAAAGTACAACTTCTACGCCTGTCAAATTGCCTGACTATCTAGAAATGGTGGTTAATCTCAACCAGTCTGTATTCCAAAGTTTCAAACGCTCTTTGCTTTCATTAATTTTTATCTACCAAGTTACAAGGGGCCTTTGAAGTAATCCCTTCTTTTGTTGCATTAAAAACCAAGTGTGTTATCAACCAGACTTTCGTGTGTGTTTTTTGCCCGCCTTATGAGAATTATTTGGATATTATTCATAATGTGTAAGGAAAGGAATGTGCTATTTCAAGTAATGTGAAGCCCGCCTTATGAGAATTATTTGGATATTATTCTTAATGTGTAAGGAAAGGAATGTGCTATTTCAAGTAATGTGAAGCCCGCCTTATGAGAATTATTTGGATAGTATTCTTAATGTGTAAGGAAAGGAATGTGCTATTTCAAGTAATGTGAAGCCCACCTTATGAGAATTATTTGGATATTATTCATAATGTGTAAGGAAAGGAATGTGTTATTTCAAGTAATGTGAAACAAACGTTTCTGAAACATTTTTTTTTCTCGAGTTCCATAACAAAATTTAGAGCTGCTTTAGTTAACATTATTTCGAACATTCAGACCCAACTTGCAATGTATATTTAAAATAATAAAAGATAATATGGTAATACATATTTGCCAAAGCAATTACATATTGCTTGACCATTCAGCCATTCTATGATGTTTAATGAAGATCAAAAGTGACAAGAATATTTAGATAATGGTTTTACAAAATAGATAAATAAATGTTTCGGACTTTTTGACGTCAAACTGATTATTTTAACACAATTTCCCGCCTTCATTGTTCCACTTTTCTATTTAAAGATAGTCAGTCGATAGTACATTCAGTTACCATGTAAAGATAGTAACAAAAACAAAACTTTTTACAAACTGAAAATACAAAACATTCAGGAAAAACCTTCTCAGCTATTTAGTAAATAAAAGTTAGGCCTAAGTTAGAAAATGTTAGAAAACAGATTTGTTATTCCTTTGTCTTTTTTTGTACGTCATATAAAATTAGAAATTATTTTTCTTTTTATTACCGTCAGTAAACTTGAATAATATAGTGGTAGTGTGACGTAAAGTTGTTGCGGAAACTTTTAATGCATGATTGATAGCGTTATCAATGATATAACGTGTATATGTATGTATGTGTCTTATGATTTGTTTGTTTGTTATTAAGCACAAATCTACAAAATGAACCATTTCTACTGTTCTCATACTGGTATCGAACCGTTTTTTTTTTTTTTAGAGTTATAATCTTTCAGACATATCACTATGCCAATGGAGGCGTCATGATTTGTAAATGACTTGTATAAAAATGGCAAAAATTACATTTCACAGCTTTGATCTATTTCACACCATATCAGTTATTGTTCATGCAATTTGATAATATAAATAGCGCCTCATCTACTATTATGTCTGTCTTATCCCAGCTGGCCTAGTGAACCTTGGTATTAGATGAAAGGCCACATCGGCAGTGAAATTATAGCAGGTATAACGTGGTTACATTCTTCTCTGCTTTCACTCTTATAATCAGTTGTCTAAACTGTTGGATAATTATAGATTTC